CGCTCAAAGTATTCGCCAGGAAGTGTAGTGACTATGTATTGGCAAACAGGCAGCCTAAATGAAACTTCCTCTCCCAAATAGCTTCCCAGGATCTTTCACATCCACCTGAACAGGCACAGACAAGCTGTTGTGTTTATCTCTGAGTTGAGGCAATACAGCAAAAGTATCCTGATAACATTGAACTCACTCATTGATTCTTTTCTCATCTCTTTGCTTGCCTTGCTTTCTCTTATCTTATTTCTGTACATGCTCCTTGTTTCTCTGTCTCTCGCTTCCTTGTTCGTCATGTTAAGAAGGAGGTTGTTTATGTCTGTGCTGGTGCTCGCTCCCCCACTGGAGCTCTCTACTCTAATCTCGTTCCTCTGATTTTTTCCGTGTATCGCTGAGATTTCCTCAATTCCATTTTAAACACTATTATGGATTAATTTGTCCACGAAACACACAGTCACTACATTTTACAGTAAATCCTGTGAAGCGCTTTGAAGTGTCCTCCCAACATGAAAGGAGTTGTATCAAATGTAAAGATTATTATTATTAGGTATGTCTGCGGAACTCCCTGCCTCAGTCCCTCCGCCTCGCCCACTCCTTACCTATCTTCACATCGCAACATCGCATATGGTCACCTTCCCTTTCTCCTCGGCTCAGGGTCAAACTCTGTCATTGTTCGATAATAACAACAACAAATAACATTTGTATAGTGCCAAATCCCTGAGGAAAGTCAAGCATTTGGACTCGAGGCATGGGGTTGGGATCAGGGGTGAAGGGCAGGGAGAGTAGGGGTAGGAGGGTGACCGAAGGCTCGTTCAAAGAGGAGGGTCTTGAGATGGGCCTTGAAGGAGTCAAGGGAGGGAGTGAGGCGAAGGGACTGTGGGATTGAGTTCCAAAGGGTGGGGGCAACGAGGCTGAAGGCCTGACTGCTGATGGTGGGGCGGGCCGGGTGAGGGACAGGGACCAGGCCGGAGTCTGGAGGGCACAGCACTGTGAGACACCCCATTAAATGCTAGTTGTTGTTCTATCAATTTCTTCTTAAATACATTGACACTTTCTCCTTCAACCAAAGCTTCCAGCAGTGAGTTCCACCCTCTGCGGAAAGAGTCACATGGGATAAGTCTAGGTGGAATTGTGAGTCTTGGACAGGCCAAATAATCTCCATCTAATGTTTAAACACTTGGCATCAGGTCCCTGTGAAGGGATTTGAGAAGTTTTGACATTTTAAACACTATATCAAGTGCAAGAATTATCATTATTATTTCAAATCTGGGAAAGTGGCTGCACACAGCTCCACCGTGTTCTCTATCTCAATAGCTATTGCAGTAGATTACATCTGTCTGTATAATTGGTTTTGTCTGGTGATATATGATAGCTCGTGACAGGAACCGTGAGGTGCCGGTGTCCCCTTATCTGATTGCAATCAGGGTTTACTGCTACTCAGGCTGGTCTGTCCCTGGTCCAACACAGAGTCAACATCAGCCAAAAGCTTCACATACAAAGCGCCCTGGGCCCTGACTCTGACCCTGACTTCCACCACCCACCACTCTCTGCTGCTTATTGTTATCCCCTCTTCTCTTCTCTTTCCTCTTCTGTATCTTCATTTCTCTCTTCTCTTCACTTTCTTCTCACCTCTAGAGACTAACTCAGTCAGTCTGATTGATGGTGAATGGGTTCAGCTAGCCATGCTCTGGCCTTTTGAGTCAGAAGTCTGAGCCCCAAGTCCGGGACTTTAAGCTCACGATCCAGCACGGGGCTGACAGAAACACTGAGAAACATTAAACCAAGGTGCCAGCCTGGACTGTGAGCTCAGAGTCCCAGCCTGAGACATGGGGCTTGAACCCACAACCCTCTGAGCTAGAGACTAGAGTGGTAACTGGCTGGGCTGGGCTACACAGTGCTGTGTAGGGGAGTCACAGCCGGGGCTCAGGGCGCCTGTTTACATTGTTTCGTGGCTCTGTTCCTGTGATTTGGGGCTTCTGATAACCAGGAGGATAACCACACCCCCCACATACCCTTATCTAAACAACGTCCGTGTCACTATGCATTTTTGACTAGGTTACAAACCAGTCCTCTGGAAATAAAACAATAATCAGAATACAGAGGACCCCTCCCGACCATCCCCCCACCTGACACAGCACAACAACAACATCAACTTGCACTAATGCAGAGCCCGCCCTGCAGGCGTCTCAGAGCGCTGAGTACAGAGAGACAAAGCGCCCCTCTCAATTATTATAGAGTCCTGTAGAGTATTGGTTAGAGCACTCGCCTCACAAGCGAGAGGACCTGGGCTCGATTCCTAGGGAGGGTGAAACTTTAGGCAAGCTTACTCCATACACCTCTGTTTACACAGCATTAAACAGAAACCCGGTTGTCAGTTGATTGGCGGATCACTTTTCAGGGGTAATATTCCCCTAAATAATAATAATTTGGTGACTCAACCCAGAACTGTTTGTGGGATACGAGTGTGCACAATTGGCTGCCCCGTTTCACTCACAAAATCCTCAATTCACTTTACAGTATATCCTGTGAAATGCTTTGAGACGTCTGAACAACGTGATAAGGCACTGTATGATAGAATCATATAGTCATACAGCACAGAAAGAGCCATTTGGGCTATTCTGTCTGTGTCGGTTCTTTGAAAAGAGTTTCCAAACCACTCCCCCCCACTCTCCCCACAGCCCTGATCAACCCCACTCCCCCACTCTCTCCCCATAGCCCTGATCAACCCCACTCCCCCACTCTCTCCCCATAGCCCTGATCAACCCCACTCCCCCGCTCTCGCTTCATAGCCCTGATCAACCCCACTCCCCCACTCTCTCTCCCCATAGCCCTGATCAACCCCACTCCCCCACTCTCTCCCCATAGTCCTGATCAACCCCACTACCCCACTCTCTCCCGATAGCCCTGATCAACCCCACTCCCCGGTTCCGTCCCCATAGCCCTGATCAACCCCACTCCCCCGCTCTCGCTTCATAGTCCTGATCAACCCCACTACCCCACTCTCTCCCCATAGCTCTGATCAACCCCACTCCCCCGCTCTCTCCCCATAGCCCTGATCAACCCCACTCCCCCGTTCTGTCCCCATAGCCCTGATCAACCCCACTCCCCCCGCTCTCCCCATAGCCCTGATCAACCCCACTCCCCCGCTCTCTCCCCATAGCCCTGATCAACCCCACTCCCCCGCTCTCTCCCCATAGCCTTGATCAACCCCACTCCCCCACTCTCTCCCCATAGCCTTGATCAACTCCACTCCTCCGCTCTCTCCCCATAGCCCTGATCAACCCCACTCCCCCGCTCTCGCTTCATAGTCCTGATAAACCCCACTCCCCGCTCTCTCCCCATAGCCCTGATCAACGCCACTCCCCCGCTCTCTCCCCATAGCCCTGATGAACCCCACTCCCCCTCACTCTCCCCATAGCCCTGATCAACCCCACTCCCCCGCTTTCCCCCCATAGCCCTGATCAACCCCACTCCCCCGCTCTCTCCCCATAGCCCTGTTCAACGCCACTCCCCCACTCTCTCCCATAGTCCTGATCAACCCCACTCCCCCTCTCTCCCCATAGCCCTGATCAACGCCCTCCCCCGCTCTATCCCCATAGCCCTGATCAACCCGAATGCCCTGCGCTCTCTCGCCATAGCCCTGATCAACCCCACTCCCCCGCTCTCTCCCCATAGCCTTGATGAACCCACTCCCTCGCTCTTCCCCATAGTACTGATCAGCCCCTCTCCCCCGCTCTCTCACCAAAGCCCTGATCAACCCCACTCACCCCCTCTCTCCCCGTAGCCCTGATCAGCCCACTCCCCCGCTCTCTCCCCACAGACCTGATCAACTCCACTCCCCCGCGCTCTCCCCATAGCCCTGATCAACCCCACTCCCCCGCGCTCTCCCCATAGCCCTGATCAACCCCACTCCCCCGCTCTCTCCCCATAGCCCTGATCAACCCCACTCCCCCGCTCTCTCCCCATAGCCCTGATCAACCCCACTCCCCCGCTCTCTCCCCATAGCCTTGATCAACCCCACTCCCCCACTCTCTCCCCATAGCCTTGATCAACTCCACTCCTCCGCTCTCTCCCCATAGCCCTGATCAACCCCACTCCCCCGCTCTCGCTTCATAGTCCTGATAAACCCCACTCCCCCGCTCTCTCCCCATAGCCCTGATCAACGCCACTCCCCCGCTCTCTCCCCATAGCCCTGATGAACCCCACTCCCCCTCACTCTCCCCATAGCCCTGATCAACCCCACTCCCCCGCTTTCCCCCATAGCCCTGATCAACCCCACTCCCCCGCTCTCTCCCCATAGCCCTGTTCAACGCCACTCCCCCACTCTCTCCCCATAGTCCTGATCAACCCCACTCCCCCCTCTCTCCCCATAGCCCTGATCAACGCCCTCCCCCGCTCTATCCCCATAGCCCTGATCAACCCGAATGCCCTGCGCTCTCTCGCCATAGCCCTGATCAACCCCACTCCCCCGCTCTCTCCCCATAGCCTTGATGAACCCACTCCCTCGCTCTTCCCCCATAGTACTGATCAGCCCCTCTCCCCCGCTCTCTCACCAAAGCCCTGATCAACCCCACTCCCCCCCTCTCTCCCCGTAGCCCTGATCAGCCCACTCCCCCGCTCTCTCCCCACAGACCTGATCAACTCCACTCCCCGCTCTCTCCCCATAGCCCTGATCAACCCCACTCCCCCGCGCTCTCCCCATAGCCCTGATCAACCCCATTCCCCCACTCTCTCCCCATAGCCCTGATCAACCCCACTCCCCCGCGCTCTCCCCATAGCCCTGATCAACCCCACTCCCCCGCTCTCTCCCCATAGCCCTGCAAACTTGTCCCCAAATAATGATCTACTCCACTTTTAAAAGTTGTCACCGTATCGGCTTCCACCAGCCTTCCAGGCAACGAATTCCAGATCCCAACAACTCGCTGTGTGAAAAGCAAGGATTATTATCAAAATAAGATAAACAGATTAATTCCATTTTCCAAACTAAAGGGAATAGACGTGCAGGACAGATGGTTGCGGGGGTGGGTGTGGTGGCTGTCTGGCCCGCTGTGCTGCTCTCAGGTCAGTGTGTTGGGCTGTGGTGACAATACACAGGTGCGTCTCTCTCTCTCTGGGTTGGAACAGCTGCCAGCTCGGCTGGGCTTGGCTCTCACAGCCTCAGTGTCTGGAAACATTCAGCCTCAGTGCACACCTGGCTCTTTTACCAGCTAACACGTCTTGTCAATGGAGAGCTGCACAGAGCTTTCACAATGAGCTGTTTCTCATCAGCCCCCATCACTGCCCCGTTTGATATCTTGCGTGTATACAGTCAATTCACTTTATAGTGGATCCTGTGAAGCGCTTTGAGACGTGTTGACGATGTGATAGGGGCCCTTGTCAAATGCTATTATTATTATTATTATCCACTACCACCTAAATGCGGTGTGTGTGTGTGTGTCTGTGTGGGAGTGGTAGTGGTGGGGGACGGGTGGGGGGGGGGAGAAAGAGTTTTGAGCTCACAGGCCAGGCTGACACTCTAGCCTGGACTGGAGTAGATAATAATATTTATCTTTCTTTAAATAACAATATGAATATAAATATTTTTCACTTTCATATCATTGAGATGTCCCAAAGTGCTTCACAGGATATATCGCAAAGTGTAGCGACTGCGTGTTTTGTGGCTGAAATGCGGCAGCCGATTTGCCCATAGCAACGTCCCACAAACAGCCATGGAGTGAGTGACCAATTTTATTTGGGGGATTGTTGGCCAGGACATTGGGAGAGAGAAACACTCTGTGCTTTCCGAAGATCTTGTGACATTATTGGAAAAGAGAAGGGATGATCTCCCAGTATCCCAGCCAACAATTCTCCTGATAAAGTGATCAAAAATAATCATTTTGCTGATGTATTTTGTTGTATTTTGCGGTATGGTGCAGTGGGATAGATTGGTAGGACGTTAGCCTCTCAGCTTCACACCAGACTGTTTGTGGCACCTTACTGTATGCAAAACATTCAATGCGTTTGCATTCAATACACTTCACAGTGGATCGTTTTGAGACTTTTGGATATTTAAATCACAGCTCTTTGACCTGCTTTCGGTCATCCCCCCACCCAGCACACACATACCTAGTGCTTTGAGACATCCCTGGAATCCCATACCCAAGTTAGTGCGCTCATCTCGCAAGTAAGAGGACCTGCACTTGATTCTCAGGCGGGGTGAAAGCTTAGGCAAGTTTCCTTACTCCACATGCCTCTGGTACCAGCAGGAAGTAGGAACCTGGTTGTTAGTCGAATGCTAGGATTATTGACGGATCGCAGTTTGCGGGATAATAATCCCTGAAAAAAATTGTATCACTCAATCCACGGATGTTTGTGGGACACTGTTGTGTGCAATTGGCTGCTATGTTTCACCCACAAAATACACAGTCAATTCACTTTACAAAATATTCTGTGTAGGGCTTTAAGGTGCTCTATCAAATGCAAGGATTATTATTAATATCCTGAGGATGAAAGGCGTTACATCAATATAAATTGGGTCAATAGGCCTTACATTCAGTATAAGACCTTTCCTGTCAAGAGTGCGTCTCAATGTGCTTTTCAGAACAACATTAACAACTTGCATTTATATAGGCCCTTCACACAGGGTGGCGTCCAGCATCGCTTCACGTGGCGGAGTCTGACAACGAGTCAGGGGGAGAGAGAGGGGGGAGGTGACCGTGAGCACGATCAAAACGGAAGGTCTTTAGACTGTATTTGAAGGTGGGGAGGGAGAAGGCATATTGGATCATGTCGGCTCAGGCCATATCTGAAACGCATTATCATCATCGTTATGGTTTATTATTGCCGTTATTGTTATAATCCTATCTTTTTTCCTTCCTGAAAGTTACGGCCAAATTTCAACTGTGCCTGGTTTTTACCCAGCCAGGTCTCTAGACAAACTCTACAACTTTGCCGAGTGCTCTGGTTTGCATCTGATCTTTGGCCTGAATTCCCTCCTGCGGAATGCTGACAAATCTTGGAACGGCTCCAGCGCTCTGAGTCTCCTTAAGTACTGCGCTGGCAAGAAGTACAACATATCCTGGGAACTGGGAAACGGTAAGTGACCTACTCCATCCCGTCCTGCCAGAGTGGGTTTCTCCCCCTCCCCACCACCCCCGAGCCCCCAAACACCCCCACACCATCACCACAAATATGTGTCTGCTTCAAGGTACAACAACAAATTACATTTACACAGCACCTTTAAATGTCAGGAGGACATCCCAAGGCTCTGGATAATCAAGGATTTGAACCCGAGCTGAGGGTTGGGATCAGAGAGGGGTGGAGGGCAGGGAGGGTGGGGGTAGGAAGGTGACCAAAGGTGCGGCTGAAGAGGAGGGTCTTGAGATGCGCCCTGAAGGAGGCAAGAGAGCGCACAAGGTATTGGATAGAGTTCCAGAGAGTGGGGGCAGAGAGGGTGAAGGCCATGGAGCAGGCCGGAGCCTGCTGAGCGGAGGGAAGAGCAAGGTATGGCCGGTGCATGGGCAATACCTAACCTCCCTTCACGAGGGTGGGGTGGCGTGGGTTGTGTGAGTGCGGGTTGGTGGGGGTGGGTGTCAGCACATTAGTGAGGCGTCACATCTGTTGCCGCCTGTGGTGGGTTTAACACAGTGAAGGGGCAGACTGTCTGAGTAATTGACTGACAGGCTGTTGTGTCCACAGTCTCTCTCTCTCTATATAAAATCAGTCCCACTTAAATATAAGGAGGGAACGGCAGTGTGCTGACAGGCCGTGGCATAGGGTTCGTAGGTTGGGGATTATCTTATTTATATTCTGATCACAAGACACCAGTGGGAAAGTGGGAGCATTCTGGGAGGTTAAACCACCGCGGAAGTGAAGGTTTAAGTGCAGAACTGTGATGGTCTCCAGCTCAGTTCCTGAGCCAGGCGGGTCCACAGTATTCCAGGTTACAGCACAGCCCAGCCTGGCTCATTGGCACGACTTGGAAGAGCAGACCAGTCACTGGGAGCAAGGAATCCTCCCACTCAGTTCTCGTTAAACCTGCAGCCAAAGCCCTAAATGGTAGGGTGGTCCGAACTTGTCAAGCAGCGGGAAAGCTTGCCAGGCAATGCTCTCAATGGCATGCTATGTGGTTTTAGCTGGTTAGACTTCAGCAGTTACCCCAACACACACTCTGAGGACCCCAAGCCTTGGCTCTTGCCAACCATGAGTCCAATATACTCCAGAATTAGGTAAGCAGAATGTGTTCCTCCAGGGAGAGAGAGCGCATGCCATCCCAGACACAGGGATAGGGATATGCCAGGGTCTATGATAATTATTATGATTATTATTATGATTATGAGTCAGTGGTTAAATTACTCGCCTCGCAAGCAAGAGGACACGGGTTCGATTTCCGGGCAAGGTGAAATTTAGGCAAGTTTCCTCACTCTACCGGCCTCTGTTTACGTAGCAGTAAGTAGGAACCTGGTTGTCAATCGATTGGCGGTTCACTTACCGGGGTTAATAATCCTTTAAAAAAATAATGTGTTCACTCAATCCATGACTGTTTGCAGGACATGGCTGTGAGCAATTGGCTGCTCCATTTGGACCTCAAAATTCACTTTACAGTTTATTCTGTGAAGCGCTTTGAGACGTCTTAACAACGTGATAAAGCGCTATATCAAATACAAGGATTATTACTATATTTCCACACGTAGGTGGCATAAACATAAATAAATACTTACATATGTGGAACTGAGCCTGGTTTAGAGACTGACTTCTGCATGTGCCAGCTGAATTCAAACCCATTTATCAGAGCTTGTGTAGTTAACTGAAAGCTGTATAAAAACATGCTGTTGAATAAAAACAGTCATTTGGGGAAACACACTTTCATATTTACAATCCTGGGGTGGTTGAGAACAATGTAAAGAACATTTAGTGTGATGTTTACAGTGGCTACAGTCTCGCGTTCAGTGAATAATGAGGTGTTAGACTACATCACCATTAGCGCAGATGAGGAGATTTTCCAAGCACTTACTTAAAGGGAAAGTGGGGAAGTTAAAGGGAAGGGCTGGAGTTTGCGGTCTTTCAAGGGACTATTTGCTACCTACTGCATTTTTCTATCTCAGTATGTCAGTCATGGAGACCCATTGGGCTTAGAGCGCTCGCCTCACAACCAAGAGTGCCCGGGATCGAATCTCAGTTGGAGCGATACCTTAGGCTAATTTCCTTCCTCCACACGTCTCTGTTTTTATCCAGCAGTAAGTAGGAACCCGGCTGTTAGTTGATTGCAGATCGCTTTCCGGGGGTGGTAATCCTTCCCACCCCAAAAAAAACCAATTTGGTCACTCAATCCATGACTACTGTGTGCAATTGGCTGCCACAATTCGTCCACAAAATATAGTCAATCCATTTTACAGTATATTCTGTGAAGCGCTTTGAGCCATCCCAACGACATGATAAGGCGCTGTATCAAATGCAAGGATTATTATTATTATTGGCCACGACACTGAAGAAAAGCAGCATCACTGGATCTTTAAAAACCTCAGTTTATACTGTCTGGGCCTAAAGATCTCTTCCACCCCGTTGTCTCCCTTCACCCCCTACACTCACTACAAGGATGTTTATTTAACAGTCACCAAAATTGGCGCTTGAGGCCGTCAAGAACGGCTCCCTGCACCCTATCCCCACCCCGAACATTCGCATGAGTCTGTGTAAAGTCCGTGTTCAATCGGTCGTGAGTTTTCAGTTTTTTTCTTGATTGAACATTTCTGGATTTTTGATGGTCAAGCACTGATATCAATGGCCAAGCTGTGTGTGGGTTTAGCTGGTTAGACTCCAGCAGTTCCCCCAACATACACTCTAGGGTCCCTAAGCCTTGGCTGTAGCCAACCTGCACCTAATAACTTCTGGAATAAGGTAACCAGGATGTGTCCCTCCAGGGAGAGAGAGAGAGAGAGAGCCCATTCCATTCAAACAATCTATCTCAGGGATTTCAATGTTAGGTGGAAGCATGGCAAATCTCGGTTTGGTTTGGATACTCTTAAGCACGGTGATGGGTGGCTTTCTGCGTGTGTCAGTTACCCGGCTGACCCCCCCTCCAAAATTTTTTTTAATTATTCAATGAAGAAAATGGATTTGGTCGACCATAAAGGTTGGCTGTGGCAGCTCTAACATCTGATTGTTGTTAAAGTGCTAATGTCTTCCTGCAGAACCCAACAGCTTCAGAACAATGACAGGCAGGACCATCAATGGCAGTCAGCTGGGCAGGGACTATGTCCAACTCAAGGGTTTGCTGCAGTCCGTGCGCTATTACACCAAAGCCAGCCTGTACGGACCAAGCATTGGCAGGCCACGCAGGAATGCTGTGACTCTGTTGGACGGGTGAGTAACAACAACAACAGCCTCAATATTTATATATAGCGCCCATCACCAGGGTCCTAGAACGCTTGTCCGGGCCGGGGAGATCAGTGTGTGGTGGTGGCGGGGGGGCGGTGGAGAGAGAGATGAGAGAGAAGATTGCGGAGTGGGGGGGCGGCGCAGGTCAGTGGTGATGGGGGAAATGGGAAAGCCAGACACAGCTGTGAGCAATTTTGTCTGCAGTGGTAATGATTTAAAAAGCAGGCGACCCAACTTCCACCCCCCCACCTCCTCTTTAAATGACTTGCTCCCCCTGCCCTTTAAGCGGACTTTAAACTCAGCCAACGGCCCAAGATTTAGCTAATTGTTGAGCAAGGAACAGGGCTTTGGTTGTCTGCCTCGCTCTCTCTCTCTCTCTCTCGCTCGCTCGCTCACCTCCCTGAGGGCAGGTACCCATCGGGATGCTTTGATGTTAGCAGCAATAATAATAGTGACAATACTTTCATCTGATATAACTCCTTATCACATCATCGGGGCGTCTCAAAGCGCTTCACAGGATAGACGGTAAAGTAGAGTGACTGTATATTTTTTGGGAGAAATGCAGCAAACCACAACCTTCTGTCTCAGAGGCGAGAGTGCCTACCACTATGCCAGGCTGATACACACACACACACACACATCCATCCAATGCAAGGATCATTGGCATTAAAAGCCGATACCAAGATCATGTCTGGCTGAATTTCCCTTGAGTCAGGGACGTATTTAAACCTCACAATCAGCTGCAGCGGGTTAGGGGATGAACCATGCCTGCAGTGTAGACCCACAGCTGGTGTGAACACAACCTGAGGCTTTCTATAGATTTGCTGTAAATCAACGGGCCCTTAGTGAGAGCACCCTGAGGTCCCGACTTTAATGAAAACAATTAACCCAACCAGCTTCAACATCAATCTCCTGAGCAACTTTTTCTGAGCAAAACCTTTGCTGTTTAATGGTGTGTTTTTTTAATAAAGCCAAATAAAAATACAGGTAGTGTTCCCCCTCCTCCTGCATGCAGCCTCCCTGCTTCAATTATTTAAATTCCATACTGACTCCATACTCTACTCCGAAATCACAGGGTGGAAATTGCAAGGTTTGATGTGGTGATTAACACGGCCTGTGCTCCTTGGCACACGCACAACGTACCAGTTTGCATGTTGAGCGATCTCAGGGTGAAAATAATAATAATCCTTGCATCTAATTTAGCACCTTATCACGTTGGGATGTGTCAAAGCGCTCAAATTCACTTCATAATGTGTTTTGTGAATCCATTTGAGCCGTCTCAACTTTGCGATAAGGCTCTATAACAAGGTTTATTATTATTATTAGCTCACAGTGCTTGAAAGAGCCAAGTGTGAGAGATTTGCAAGTCGGAAAGCAATCCACAAATTCCTGTGACCAGTTGAAAGTCAAGGCCCATGGAGAGAGAGAGAGAGAGAGAGGTGATTCCCATCCGGTTAATCTATCTTGTATGTGTGGAAGCTTCGGATGTCTACAAGGCTCACTTGGGTTAATCTGTCTGGATGTGTAATCCCTTTTGTGAAAGGCCCAGCTGTTGTAGAGAAAGTCCAAATCATTCATCATAGCTGTGGCTCTATAATCAGTAGAACGAACACGGCCCTGATGTTATCCTGTCCTGATAGCTGGCCCGGCCTACACATCACTGGGCTGACATTGACTGCACCGCCTGGGGTGCATAAGAAGCAAATCAAAGCAATGGCGTGGCTGATATCTTTATTAGATTGCAGCTCACACATCCATCACACATTCCACGCTGCCTGCTCGCATTCCTCACTAAAGCTGCGAAAGAGAAGCAGCGTGGGCCAAAGCAACTCAGGCTGACTGCCACCCGACAACTCACTTTGTGGCAAAGCGCAGGCACAACAGTGGGGCTCGCTCACTCCCAGCCCTCGCACGAGGCATTAAACCGAGCTCCCCGTCTGTGCCCTGTGTGGGTGGGGGTTAAGGACACTCCCCCACTCCCCCGAAAAAAAGAGAAGGGACTTTCTCTCGCTCAGTGCCCTGAGCAACCATCCTCCCAGATAAAAGTAGTTACTCACTTCACAGCTGCCTTGTGGAGTTCTGTAGCTCAGTGGTTAGAGCACTCGCCTCGCAAGCGAGAGGACTCGGGTTCGATTCCCAGGTGGGATAAAACCTTAGGCAAGTTCCTTCACTCCCACACGCCTCTGTTTACTGAGTAAGTAGGAACTTGATTGTTAGTCGATTTTTGGATTGCTTTATAGGGGTAATAATCCCCACCCCATCCCTCCCGAAAAAATGTGGTGGGACTGTTGGTGGGACACTGCTGTCCGCAATTGGCTGCCGTATTTTTCCCCAAAATACACAACTAATCCAGTACATGGTATACTTACAGTATAGTCGGTGAAACATTTTGAGACGTCTCAACGACGTGACAAGGTGCTTTATCAAATGCAAGGATTATTAGTATCATTATTTGTGGGACACTGTCATGCAAAAATTGTTTGCCACATTCACCTACAAAATAAACAGTCACTAGACTTTACAGTGAATCATGTGAAGCGTTTTGAGATGTTTTCATGACATAAGATTCTGAGAGAGAGACTGAACAGTTTTATTTTGCTTCAAATACCGGGCATCGTTTACCACAATGTAGCTGGGCTGTACCAATCTAAAGGAAGACACACTCAACTCAGGACACAATATACATTTGCATTTACATTATATAGCGCCAGTCACATTGGTAGGATGTCCCAAGGCACTTAATAGACCCGGCTTTCACCCGAGCTGGGGTGGGAAGGGAAAGATGACTGAAAGCGCGGTTTAAGCGATGGATATAATAATATAATAATCCTTGCATTTGATGTAGCGCCTTATCACGTCTTCAAGACGTCAAAGCGCTCCACAGAATATACTATAAAGGGACTGTGTATTTTGCGAGCGAGATGGGGAATGGGTTTATCAGTCAAACACTGCCCAGTGACTGATGTACACAAATGACAGGCAAGAGAGGAGTTTGTTGCCATTTGGGAAAGGAAATAATAATAATAATCCTTGCATTTAATATAGTGCCTTCTCATGTCTTTGAGAGGTCTCAAAGCGCTTCACAGGATACAATGTAAAGTGAATTGACTGTGTGTTTCTGGGTGAAATGGTGTCACTGAGTTGAGTTATTTTTGCATGTTGTGATGTCACAGGGAAGCGCTGTAACGATATCGCAAACTCCAGGAACTCAGTTCCATCACAGCTCATCAGCAACATCGTCAGCCGTGCCGCAGTGAGGGAGGCAGCATTCCGGTTCCTCTGCCGTTATCCTTCCCGAATTGTACCATTGCAAAACTATGTGGTCGTCTCCTCCTTCCTCCCGGCTTGGCGTCAGGCTTCGCCACTGTTAAGCGCTCTGCGAAGGGTGCTATAGAAATGCAAGATGTTGTTGTTATTGTTCCCGAACCGTAAAATTCCCAACCCCCATCCTTCCCAACCACCTGCAATTGACTCCCTCCTCACACAGCATTCTCCCCTCTATCAACACTAATCGTTGTGGTGTTCGCATGGACCACAAACTATAAAGGAGGGAAAGCCAATGGATTGTCACTTTCTTACGTGACCCCTCTTGGTTCACGGTTCCTCCAGGCAGAGAAAATCACTGCAAATCAGCTTTTCCCAGGCTTTGTCTAAACAGGGAAGGAGCAATAGAGTGAGCGATTCCAGTAAGTGTAGCAGTTGTAAATTAAGGTCCTCATCAGTACCATTCTAAATGCAGCAGTACTAAACTCAGGACAAATTCCATCCCTTATCTTATCCAAATTATAATAATAATAATCCTTGTATTTGATACAGAGCCTTATCACATCATTGAGATGTCTCGAAGCGCTTCACAGAATATAGTGTAATGTGAATTAACTATATTTTGTGGGTGAAACACGGTAGCAGATTGCACACAGCAGTTTCCCACAAACGGTCGTGGAGTGAGTGACAAAATATATTCTTTTGGAGGCGATTACTACCCACAGTTAGTGATCCGCAAATCGACTAACAACCTTACTTAATATAGGAAAATTGCTGTAAACATTCTTACTGTACTTACTGTAAAAATTCCCTGGAACATACAGTAAATCTCTAAAGCACTTTGAGACATCTAGAAGACGTGATAAGGCTTAGCGCCTTATCCAATGCAAGGATTATTATTATTACTGCTAGATAAATAGAGGTGTGTGGCGTAATCAAACCCGGGTCCTCTCGCTTGTGAGGTGAGAGCGCTAATCGCTGGCTATGGGACTCCACGAATTCCACAAGCGAAGGGGGTGTTTAATAACTGCTTTGTCTTGTCTGCAGGTTTATGAGAACAGCGGGCGCCCTGGTCAGTGCGGTCACGTGGCAACAGTAGGTATTTAAACTTTGCTTCCACTAAAGTGATTGCAAGCCTATAAATCAGTGGGACAGACAGGACACGTCATTGTGATCGTGCTGGGAGGATCCGGACTCAGAAACATTCTCTGGAATATTCGGTTTTGAGATAATGGCGGGGGTGCAGGAAGAGACGTCAAAAGAGATTATCAGAGGTGCCGTCCTCCAGATGAGTCTTTAATTTGAGGTCCTCTCTCTGTCTGGGTGAACGTTAAAGATCCCAGGACATGATTGGAAAAAGAGAAGGCAGTTTCTCTCTCTCCCGGTGTCCTGGCCAACAATTCCCCAGATTAAGTAAGTTAAGGCCTTGGGTGTTTACGGGCACAATGGCTCCCTGACCCCTCCCCCCACCATCTCCACTGCGACTCGCTGGCGATAAAACGCTAGATTAAAAACAATTGTGAGTTCTTCCCTTCTTAGCGCCAGATTAGGAAGCATCGCTTCATTGATTGGTCATAACTAGGGGTATGAGAGGCATAACCAATCGATTAAACTGGTCATCAAACCATCAAGGTGAGTCGGATCGATTTGTCAGAACTGGTACTCTCTGCCCTGGGAGCTGGTGCTTGGGGGCGGGCAGGCGGGTGGGATGGGGGCATCGATGGGTATCAATGTGCCAGGCAAACCCAGCCAGTCCACATCCCACCCACCTGCCGGGAAGAGCATGTGTTGTTGATAAGCAGCGAGAAACTGCAAAAAAATGTATGGGAACAGGGGACTGGGAAGTGAAGACATAAGATCAATTGATTCCTATAATAGTCTGCAACTCAGGCAGTGTGTTTCTGCCATAGATATCAAATAACATAGTAAATAAGCTATTCATGTGTAACTAATCGCCTGGATTTGGTGTATAAGACGGGTTCATTTTGCCGCCAACATCTCATTCCCTGAGTATTGACTTTGTCCAGTGTAAAACTAGCAAGCAATATTAACTCCGGTCACAGTCATTCCCTCTGAGATGAAGGAATGAAGCTATTTTCTTCTTCACACCTTAAGGAGCATGGCTCCCCATCCCACCTCCCCCACCCCTCCCCCTTCACTCCTATACCAGATTCTTGCCCGGATTTTAAAATTTAGTCACCGTTACAAGCGGGAGAGAAATAAATGATCACAGCACCCGTGCAAAGAACAGTAAAAACAGATCCTTGCATTTGATATAACGTGTTTCGTACCAGGAGGACATCTCAAAGCGCTTCTCAGGATATTGACATGCCAAACATGTAGCCAATAATAATAATCCTTGCATTTGATGCACCTTATCACGTTGTTCAGATGTCTCAAAGTGTTTCACAGGAATGACGCGGCAGCCAATTTCCACACGGCAGCGACCCGCAAACAGCCTCAAACTGATTAATAATAATAATCCTTGAATTTGATATTGCGCTTTATCAAGTCATCCAGAAATCTCAAGTCACTTCACAGAATATTCTGTAAAGTGAATTAACTGTATATTTTGTGGGCTAAACGTGGCAGTCAATTGCGCACAGCAGCGTCCCACAAATAGTCGTGGATTGAAGTGACCAATCGATTATTATTATTTTTTTGAAGGAATTTTCAGTTAATTTGAAGGAATTAAACAAATTTTGTCCTGAGGATTGTAGGCTGGGATACCTACTGGGAGAGACTCCCTTCTCTTTTTATGTAGCCCGACGGGATCCTTCACATCCACCTTTTTCTTTTCTTTGAGACGTCCTCCCAACGTGTAAGACACTATGTCAAATGTGAGGATGATGATGATTATTAACTTGTCCCAATCTCTGTTTGTTACAGTTACTACATAGACGGACGCATGGCCAAAGTTGCGGACTTTATGAAAACCAGGCTGCTGGACACACTGTCAGATCAGATTGCCAAGGTACACAGGGTGAGTGACCTGGTCAGCAACCTCTCCCTCTCATTAGGCTCACCACCCTCTGCTCTGTCACCAGCAGAGACCTAAACTACTCTCTCAGCTTTGGAGGCTTTGAGCTCAGCGACTGAGCTAAGTCGCTCTCCTTTTTTAAGCTGTGTCACAAGATTGGTTTGGATGCAAAAGGCCCTTTGGCTCATCTGATCTCGTCCTCTCCAAAACAGCCACCCTACTGCTCCCCACTTCCCTGCCCCACCCCCATCACAGCATCAAATTGCTTCTTAAATGAGTCCAGTGTCCTGGCCTCAAATCCCCTTCATGGCAACCTTTTCTGGTTGTTAATTATCTTCTGGGTAAAGAAAAGCTTTCTGGTGTTTGTGCTGAAAGTGTCCTTTGCAATGGTAACATTTTGGTCTCCCACTCTATGACTGTTTGTGGGACGCTGCTGTGCGCAAATTGGCTGCTGCATTTCTCCCACAAAACACACAGTCACTCCGGTTTACAGTATATCATGTGAAGTGATTTGTGATGTCTCAATGATATGATCAGACTACATCAAATGCAAGGATTATTATTATTAATATTTAAACCTGTGTCCTTGTTTTACTGTCTTGGTGCATCCAAAAGTATTGTTGTGGGTTTATTTCCTCAATCCCAATGAAGATGTTATACGCCTCTATCAGGTCCCCTCTGAGATGTCTCCAATCAGGTGTTTAATAGTTCCTTATAGTCATAGCTCATTCATCTAACACTGGGGTTGAGCTTCAGGTGACATGTTCGACAATCAGCCAATCGCTACTAAAACATTACTTTTTTTGACAACACCCCCCCAATATGGTGTGAGATTCCTTACCCCAACTCTCGCCTCCCAGCCATGACCATGGAGAGGGTGACTGCAGCTCCCTCTATGGCCTGGACACTGGGGCTGCTTGTGGAAGATCCTTCCTCTCCAATCACATCACCACCATGGCGTGGGGGACAAACTATTCCCCCCAAATTGAACTGAACCAGAACCCATCACATTTCATAGATTATTCCATAAAGAGCATCATTTACTTCCGGCTACTTCCTCATGTAATAATAATAGTTGTAATAATAATAATAGGAAACGATTGTGACTTGACAGCCCAAAATTCTGGCTAGTGTTTGCTTGTGTAAGAGAGAAAGAAAGTGAGGAAGAGCAAAAGAGAGAAAGAAACCTGCGGGTGGACAGGCGGACGGACATTAAAGCTCCCAGAGTGCAATTGCAATAAGGGGGTTCCTCTCCCAATGTCCCTGGCCCACAGTTCCTCAGATACGTCACATGGTCACTTTGTGGCTGTTTGTGGGATGTTGCAAATTAGCTGCTGCGTTAGCCCACAAAAACCATAGTCACTACACTTGGCAGCAATTTCCTATGAAGCTCTCTGAGACGTTGGGACGTGGAAGGATTTTTAGGATTTTACTTCATCCCTCCAACTCCCTCCCTCACCTCGCTCAAGACGTACCTCTTTGCCTGCGCTTTCGGTCATTGTTCCACTTCCCAGCCCCACAACTTGCATTTATACAGCGCCCTCAGGTAGCGTAACATCCTAAAGCGCTGGACAGTGGCAGAGCACGATGTTGCAGCCATGGGAAGGTGATTGTAAACACAGTCGAAAAGGAAGGTTTTGAGGCACAGCCTGAAGATGGAGAAGGAGGGGGCAAGACGGAGGGATCGAGGGAGAATGTTCTAGAGTTTTGGGGCAGAGTGGCTGAAAGTGTGGCCACCAATGGTGCGATTGAGGGCACGTTGGACAAGCAGGAACCCGGAGTCAGCCAGCAGTGTGAAGTACTTAGAGACGTCCTCCCAGCAGGAAAGGCGCTGTGTAAATGTGTATTGTATTGTTCTGCTCATCGCCTCCATCCCAATCCCCACTCCGATCCCCTCTGTTTGACTGGCACAGGTTGTGCACAAACGGGCTCCTGGTAAGAAGGTGTGGCTCGGGGGAGTGGGTCCAGCCTGGGCCAGTGGAACCAACAATCTTTCAGATACGTACGCAGCGGGTTTCCTGTGAGTACCTCTCCTCTTTGCACAATTCTCCCCTCTTTCCTCTCGTCCTCTCCTGGACAAGCTACTCTGGCCGGGAAACCGTCTAATCTCTCTCCGAGTTAAACCCAGGTCTTGTCCATGCTGAATGTTAACGATCTCTAGATGTTAAAGTGGCGATGATAGAAAAATGAAGGGAGTTTCTGTCTCCCAGCATCCTGGCCGACAATCTTCCAGATAAAAACAAATTAGTCATTAACTTTGTGGCTTTTTGCTGTCCGCAGATTAGCTCCCACTTTCACCTACAAAATAATAATACTAATCCTTGCATTTGATACAGCGTCTTATTGCGTCGTTGAGACGTGTATTTTGTGGGAGACACACAGCAGCCAATTGTGCACAGCAAAGTCCCATGGAGTGAGTGACCAATTGTTTTTTTCTCTGGGGGATTGTTGGCCAGGACACCGGGACAGAAACTCTTTTCGAATAGCGCTGTGAGATCTTTAACATCCACCTGAACATGCAGATGAAATCTCAGCTTCAAATCTCATTCGAAAGACGGACGCCTTACACCCATTAAGAATAGCCCCAAAACTTTACAATATATCCAAAACAATCCGAGACATCCTCCCGATATAACAAGGCTGTCCCATACATATGGATTTGCATGTGTAGGTGGGATGCATGGAAATCTCAGTCTGGTTTGGATACTCTTAAGCATGGTGATGGGTTTCCACATGTGGCAGACACCCGGCTGGGCAAAAAATAAATCAAAGGCAGGGATTATTATTATTATTATTATTGGTTAGTGTGATTATTTTCCCTGGTTTCCCCTTTCTGCAGGTGGTTGCACACGCTCGGAATGTCAGCTAAACAAGGGATTGACGTTGTGATCCGGAATTCATTCTTTGACCATGGATATAACCACCTGGTGGATCAGAACTTTAACCCGTTACCAGTGAGTCTCCAGTCTTCCATTCTAGCTGCTCGACTTGTTATGGAGTCCTGTAGCTCCGTGGTTAGAGAGCTCACCTCGCAAGCGAGAGGACCTGGGTTTGATTCCCGGCCGGAACGAGACCTTAGGCAAGTTTCTTTATTCCACACATCTCTGCTTACCTAGCAGTAAATAGAGACGCGGTAGTTAGATGATTGGTGGATCAGTTTTCAGTGGTAAAAAAAATCATAATAATTTGGTCGCTAAATCCACAGCTGTTTGTGGGACGCTGCTGTGCGCAATTGGCTGCTGCATTTCACCCACAAAATATACAGTCAATTCACTATACTGTATATTCTGTGAAGCCCTTTGAGATGTGATCAGGCTCTACCACAAATGCAAGGATGTGTCTACGTGTGTGTGTGTATATCAGTGTGTGTGTATATATCAGTGTTTGTGAATCAGTGTGTGTGTATCAGTGTGTGTATCAGTATGTGTGTATCAGTATGTGTGTATATCAGTGTGTGAGTGCATATCAGTGTGTGTATCAGTGTGTGTGTATCTCAGTGTGTGAGTGCATATCAGTGTGTATGCATATCACTGAGTGTGTGCATCAGTGTGCCTGTATCAGTGTGCGTATATCCACGTGTGTGTAATCATTGTGAGTGTGTACATCAGTGTATGTATATCAGTGTCTATATATCAGTGTGCATGTATATCAGTGTTTGTGTATATCAGTGTGTGACTGTATATCAATGTGTTTATATCAGTCTGAGTGTATTTCAGTGTGTGTGTGTATCAGTGTGTTTATGTAGTGTGTGTGTGTGTATTAGGGTGTATATGTATCAGTGTGTGTTGATATCAGTGTGTGTATATATCAGTGTGTATGTATATATATGTATATATATATCAGTCTGTGTGTATATCATTTTGTGTGTATCAGTGAGTGTATATATTTGTGTGTGTATATCAGTGTATGTGTGTATATCACTTTGTGTAGATCGGTGTGTATATTGTGTGTGTATATCAGTGTGTGTATGTCAGTGTGTGTATGTCAGTGAGTGTGTACATTAGTTTGTGTATATCAGAGTGTGTGTCTACATGTGTGTGTGTATCAGAGTATGTATATTAGTATGTGTGTGTATCAATGTGTGTGTATCAGAATGCGGGTTTATATTAACATTGTGTATATCAGCATGTGTGTATCATTGTGTGTATATCAGTGTATGTGTATATGTGTATGTCAGTGTCTCTGTTTATCAGCGTGTATATATCTAAGTGGTGTATCGGTGTGTGTGCATACCAGCTTGTGGGTATATCTGTGTGTGTATAACAGTGTCCTTATATATCAGTGTGTGTCTGTATATGAGTGTGTGTATATGAGTGTGTCTATGTATCAATGTGTTTGTGTATCAATATGTGTGTATATCAGTGAGTGTATTTCAGTGTGGCGGTGTATATCAGTGTGTTTGTATATCAGTGTGTGTATATGTGTGTGTGTATTTCAGTGTCTGAGTATCAGAATGTGGGTGTATATCAGTGTGTGTCTATATCAGCATGTGTGTATATCTGTGTGTGTATATCAGTGTGTATATCAGTGTGAGTGTATATCAATGTGTGTGTATATCAGTGTGTGTGTGTATCAGTGTTTGTGTATATCAATGTGTGTGTGAATATCAGTATGTGTATATCAGTTTGTGTGTATATCAGTCTGCGTATCTTAGTGTGAGTATATATAAGTGTGTATGTATCAGTGTGCACGTGTTTATCAGTGTGTGTATTTCAGTGTATTTATATCAGTATATGTGTACATGAGTATATCTGTGTGTTTGTATATCAGTGTGTGTATATCAGTGTATCTGTATCAGTGTGAGTATAGGAATGTGTGTCTAAGTCGGTGTGTATGTATATCAATGTGTGTATATCAGTGTGTGTATATTAGTGTGTATGTGTATCAGTGTACATATGTATATCAGTGTGAATGTATATCAGTGTGTATATTAGTGTGCATGTTTCTATTAGTGTTTGTGTACATCAATGTGTGGTTTTATATAGAGTGTGAGTGTACATAGATGTGTGTTTATAAGTGTGTGTATATATCAGTGTGCGTATATCAGTGTGTGTGTATCAGTGTGTGTATCAGACTATGTGTGTAAATCGGTGGTGTGTGTGTACATCAGGGTATATATGTATCAGCGTGTACGTGTATCAGTGTGTGTTTGTATCAGTGTGGGTGTATATTATTGTGTGTATATCAGTGTGTGTGTTTATTAGCATGTGTGTATATATGTGTGTGTGTGTATATATATCAGTGTTTCTGTATATTAGTGTGTATGTGTATCAATGTTTTTGGGTATCAATGTGTGTGTATATCAGTGTGTGTATATCAGTGTGTGTGTATACCTGTGTGTATGTGTATTAGTGTGTGTATCAGTGTATAATAGTGTGAGTGTATATCAGTGTGTGTGTATCAGTACGTGTTGATATCAATTTGTATGTATATCAGTGTGTATGTATATCAGTATGTGTGTATACTAGTGTGTATATATCAGTGTGAGTTTATCATTATGTGTGTATATTGTGTGGATGTGTATATCAGTGTGTGTATATCTATCAGTGTGATTGCATATAAATGCGTATATCAGTTTGCGTATATCTCTTTGACCGTGTCTTTAGCTCCCCTCTCAACTCTCTCCCCCCTCCTCGCTCCCTCCCTTCCCTCCCCTCACCCTGACCATTTCCCCCCTCCTCGCTCCCTCCCTTCCCTCCCCTCACCCTGACCATCTCCCCCCTCCTCGCTCCCTCCCTTCCCTCCCCTCACCCTGACCATTTCCCCCCTCCTCGCTCCCTCCCTTCCCTCCCCTCACCCTGACCATTTCCCCCCTCCTCGCTCCCTCCCTTCCCTCCCCTCACCCTGACCATTTCCCCCCTCCTCGCTCCCTCCCTTCCCTCCCCTCACCCTGACCATCTCCCCCCTCCTCTCTCCCTCCCTTCCCTCCCCTCACCCTGACCATTTCCCCCCTGCTCGGGTCCTGACCCAACCGTACAGCGCCTTGGGACGTCCTCCCAACGTGAAAGGCGCTCTATAAATGGAATCTTGTTGTTGTTGTTGTTGTTACGTGTGTATATCGTGTGTGTGTATTTCAGTGTGTGTATATCAGTGTTGGTATATCAGTGTGTGTATATCAGAGCGTATGTATATATCAGTGCATGTATCAGAATGTGTACCTCAATGTGTATTTCAGTGTGCGTGTGTATCATTGTGTGTGTACCATTATGCGTATATATATCAATGTATGTGTATATCAGTGTGTGTGTATATCAATGTTTATATGTATCAGTGTGTGTGTGTATCAGTGTTTATGTATATCAATCTGTGTGTGAATATCAGTGTGTGTATATCAGTTTGTGTATCTCAGTGTGAGTATATATATAAGTGTGTATGTATCAGTGTGCACGTGTTTATCAGTGTGTGTATTTCAGTGTGTTTATATCAGTATATGTATATATCAGTATGCTTGTATATCTGTTTGTTTGTACATCAGTGTGTGTATATCAGTGTATCTGTATCAGTGTGTGTATATAGGAATGTGTGTCTAAGTTGGTGTGTATGTATATCAATGTGTGTATATCAGTGTGTGTATATTAGTGTGTATGTCTATCAGTGTGCATATGTATATCAGTGTGAATGTATATCAGTGTGTGTATATTAGTGTGCGTGTTTATATTAGTGTTTGTGTACACACACTGATATACACACACACACTGATATACACACATATTTATACACACACTGATATATGCACACACTGGTATATCAGTGTATGTATATCAGTATATGTGTATATAGTATGTGTGTACATCAATGTGTATAATAATAATAATAATAATAATCCTTGCATTTGATATAGCGCTTTTCACGTCGGGAGGACGTCCCAAAGCGCTTCACAGAACACACTGTAAAGTGAATTGACTGTATATTTGTGGGCGAACGCGGCAGCCAATTGCGCACAGCAATGTCCCACAAACAGTCGTAGATTGAAAATGACCAATTTATTATTGTTTTTGGTTTTGGAGGGATTATTATTAGGCTCTGTGTGGAGTAAGGAAACTTGCCCAAGGTTTCGCCCTGTCTGGAATTGAACTCAGGTCTCTCACTTGCAAAGCGAGTGCTCTAACCACTGAGCTACAGGACTCCACAAGGAGTTACAGGAGCTACAGGACTGTATGAATATCAATGTGTGTGTATCAGTGCGTGTATCAGAATGTGTGTGTAAGTGAGTGTGTATGTATATCAGTGTGTATCTCAGTGTGTGTATATCAGTGTACGTATATCAGTGTTTGTATATATCCTTGTATGTGTATTAGAATGTGTGTGTAAGTCAGTGTGTATATCAGTGTGTGTGCATATCAGTTTGTGTATGTATATTAGTGTTATGTGTATCAGTGTGTGTGTATTAGTAAGTGTGTATATCAGTGTGATTCTATGTAAGTGTGTGTGTATATATCAGTGGATGTGTATCAGTGCGAGAATATATCAGCGTGTGGTGTGTCTGAATCAATGTGTGTGTGTATATATGTGTATGTATACATCAGTGCTTATAACAGTGTGTGTATATCAGTATGCGTGTATACGAGTGTGTGTGTATATCATTGTGTGTATATATTAGTGTGTGTGTATAATAATAATAATAATCATTGCATTTTGATATAGCGCTTTTCACGTTGGGAGGACGTCCCAAAGCGCTTCACAGAACACACTGTAAAGTGAATTGACTGTATATTTGTGGGCGAACGCGGCAGCCAATTGCGCACAGCAATGTCCCACAAACAGTCGTAGATTGAAAATGACCAATTTATTATTGTTTTTGGTTTTGGAGGGATTATTATTAGGCTCTGTGTGGAGTAAGGAAACTTGCCAAAGGTTTCGCCTTCTGCCTGGAATTGATCCCAGGTCTCTCACTTGCAAAGCGAGTGCTCTAACCACTGAGCTACAGGACTCCACTGAGTATCAGAGTATGTGT